GGGGGTCATGTCCCATCCACGTGGTTGTGTTTTACATAACACTAGTGCTGTCAGTCTAACCTAGTGCAGGCTTGGATTACACACCCAGCAAGACAAGCCTGTCCAACACATGAAAACACTTCTGAGCCGAGAACTGAATGTATGTGCCGGACAGAACTGTCTTCAGCTCATTACACTTTATCTCCATACTTGTGACCTTTTATTGGGTATGATGACTGTCTACTCACCAACCGAACTTGCTGAGACATGAACATGCAGCAAAGAGAAGTCAGACAAGGCAAGAAATACGAGCAGATGATAGCACAAATCCCCTCCCGCCCCCTGGGGACGATTGGTTCATAAGTGAACATGACCACCAAGATACATTTTGTTTTCTCCACATAAGAAAAATCCAGAATGTATGAATATGTCAAATGTAGCTGGCAATATTACACTTTGCAAAGTTGCATATTGGGCCACAAGTGGCTCCAAAGTAGCTGTGATGTCACAAATTAATCTAAATTTAAAGAGATCAGATTCAAATAGCGCACGGAGAAGAATTCCTCCTTAAGTTTATGAATGCAAACACAGCCGACTAGCTGTACATACGTCATCCTCTACAATAAATGCTGTTAAAGCTATGCAGCGCATGAGCAGAATACATTTTTGACTGAGAAAGAAAACTCCACATTAGCGAAATTATTCAGAAAAAAGGCAAAACTATCACTCAAACTGTCCAAAGGTCAACTTGACCTGAAGTGATTCCATTTCACTCCCTTCAAATGAAGCGATTTATATAATGTGACCTTGCGTGCACATTTTTGTCTTAACTCAAACAGACTATCACAAAAGCAAAAATAAGACCCAAATTGTAGCTAATTCAAAGTCTCCTTTAATTTCATCTTTATATTATCAGCGTCTGATGTCGATAACTGCCAGCGCCTTTCACAAAGACGGCATCTTTTTTTTTTTTTTACAACATTCACAAAAAAAAAGAAAAAAAAGAGGAATGAGAGCAAATTTCACACCACTTCTCCGCTCTACAGCGAACAGGGCTCAGTTACTAGAAGCACTCGGCTGTGTGAATACAACTCCTGGTCGCTTCACTGACTGACTTTAACTATGTTTGCTCCTTCCAGGCCCACATGACCTGAGACTTTGAGGAACGGGCGACGTGCCAAACAGCCGCAAACTGCGCCAACAGATCCAGCTTTGTTAGCAATAAAAACGACATGCCACTATGACACGGATTTATTTTATTTGCACACAAATTTTATTTTTGGTGGTTACACTAATAGAAGACAGGACTTTTTGTTTTAGGGGCATCAATAATTCATAAATTCTTGCAGGATTCTTGCATCAATGAGATGAATTATCTTAATTTTGCATGGTAATTATTTACTATGGATTACACAGAATTCCTATTTATATTTTTACATAAAATGGATAATACTGCAATACAAGCCACTATTCAAACATAAGGTTAAAGATTATATCCATATCGCACAGCTTTATCTGAAGTAAAGTCTAATTAAGTCCTCACAATGGTCGAGTTGGTGTTCACACACATTCTGATCCAGTTGGTCGGTCATGCATGACTTTAGTCCACTTAGGCAACAGTAAACAAATGTAAACCGCCTCACCGCTATGATCTGTCATCTGTTCATGTGATTCGGAATTGATTTAACAACAAAACAACTTCACTAGATTTCAGTTTATTATATTCAGTGACTAAATCCAACTGTGATTCTGAGGCTTCATATGACTAACTTTACATTTTACTTTGTATCCAGGCTAAATTCTACACTAAAGATACATTTGTTTGGCTCTTCCCATGAGAAACTTCATCCTCACGGGGGGAAGCGGTGCGTGCCAGGGAAGGAATTCTGCAGGTTATTTTGAGACTGGCATAAAGATTCCCCTCCAGATGGCAAAGAAATACAATAATTGGCTGGTGAGGGACAACTGGATGGCAACGATAATAAAAATTCTCTCACGTGGTTTTTCGTGGAAGATTGTGGCGCAATGGCTGGTTTATTTTTAAGTTAACATTTGCCCCAAAAATCCTCTCCACTTCGTAAACTACATGTTTCGCTCTGTTCTGCTTAAGGTCACAAAAAAAAGCAACTTCCCAGTTGCTGTAATTAATTTGACTTTTTTATTTCATTTTCCTTCTAAAAGATATAATTTGGAGTGAGACGGCTCACCCCGTGATTCCTAATTATCTAAATCATGAGGTTATTTTTACACACTACATATTACATAACCGCTATCCAATAGGATTGTTTCTGGCACACGTCCCACTACTGCTGTTCAATTTTAGCCTTTGGCCCTCGGTGCCAAAAGAGCGCACCCCTGAGACATACACTCAGTCTTTTCCTATACAAGCTGGTGCCTGTTGGGGGAAAAAAAACACCCTGTAATTACAGTAGATCTGAACTCTTAAAAAAAACACACACACACATACACACAGGATCCACGCAGACAAGATAATTAATCGTTTCTAACCTGTATTTTTGTGTGTAGATAGATTGGTCGTTATGTACCATCTCAGTGTGTTCGCTTTTCAGTTTTGTTTTCGTCTGTCTCTTTCTCTGATTGTTACAGCATAAGGTCTCAGACAAAAATCAGTTTCTGAATGTTTCCGCAAGCGAGGATGGCCTGAAATACAATGTATCGGGGAGGAGGACGAAAGGCATAAAGACAAGAGATGTTTTCATGAAAAATGCTGAACAATAGTATGTGTAGTGAACAGAAGGGAGGGAAGGAATTTCAAAAATCCATCAGCCTAGATGTCAGGCGAGGACAAACACTGTAAAGAATGAAAAGGGACGAGGAGTCAAATAGAAAAACAAAGAAACAAAGGCAGAAATATGGAGGAAAATAAGAAAACAATCAGGAAAACCAGATAGAAAAGACAAAAATTATAGACTGCAAGAAAAAAAAAAAAAAGTTTCAGGAGAGTCCACGAGTCTTCGGGCTTGGCCCTGCTGAGGCCCGCCAGCCCACCGCGGCAAAAACACTCGAACAAAAGGATCATTTATTGGAGGAGGAAAGAGGGGGAGGCCGAATGGAGGGATGAAAGGAGGGGGAACACTGTACAGAGGCATTTGAGAGCTGTGTGAGTGAAACACTGGCCCCATCTCAACATTCACAGCCAATGTGTAACATTCTCCCCCACGCTGCCCCGCCGACGTTCTCAGCAGCCAGGGCCCATATGGTCCCACTGTGGTACCCTGCTAGCATTTCTATTTAAAATCCACACAAAACACCCCCTGCTTCCACCAACACGGCCTCCATTTCCCCATAAAACCACCACGGCGGCGTATGGATGCGAGGGCTGATGGTTCATTTCCATCCGTGGAATCTATGAAAACCAACTGTTGAGCTGAGCCGTGCTGCACCGGCCGCAAGATCCCATGATGAATTTCTGCTAATGCCTTGGATTCTTCATTAAATCCAACTGTGGAGCCAAGCTATGAAATGTTTACCACATAAACCCTAGAGGTGTAAGTCTCGCACAACCTACAGTGCAAATCATGTGGAAGCTAGCAGGCCTGCATAAACAGCGAGGCTTGGCAGGACGCATTCATCACAAGAGCCCTACTGTGGAAGGTTAAGCAAGACTACTGAGTGTTTCCCTGATGCATATAAATCCACATCTCCATTTAAATGCTACTCTATCTGCTTAAACTGCAGGCGTCTGCTTCTTAACAGGCCAATTTAGTGCAGACAGTGGTTCAAAGAGAATGTTTTTCTGTGAGGAAACGTCTCACAGTGAGTTAGTTGAGCCATTGTTTAGCTGTGGTGGTCCCCCACGGTTAGAAAATTGCTCCACACAGTAGGAAAAAATGTAAATACAGTGAAAATTCATAACCTGGCGTTACTGACCCCAACGTTTAGCACGGCAGTTACCGCACCACTGTAAATATAGACAAATAAAACAACAATTTTCAATTACAGCAGGAATCCTAAACATTGAGTGCATGACATTACAGGATACAAAACGCATATCATTTTAAATTCCCTAATGGGCTACAATAAACGCCTGAAGCGTTCAGGCTTGAATTGAGTAATCAGAGCAAGTAATACTTTTATAGTCAAATCCACAAACTTAGCAGCCAATTTCAACTGCTTACATGCTTTCCTTCAAAAGTTGTCAGGTTCTAGAAACTCATAAAATAACACAATCTGAAATTATTTATGTGCGATTTATAGAGCATGTTTTATCCCCCACAGCTTTCTTCTTTTGTCAAAGTACATGATTGTATTTTGGACAGGTCAACAGAAAGCAGGGTCAAAGTTCAGCTTTACTGAACTTGTACGAGAACGCTTCAATGGCAAGTCTGAATGGATGTCTGTGCTAAGAGTCGCACTGCAGTGAGATGTCTATGACAGCTCTCCTCTTCGAAAAACAATGGCTCAACCAGAGCAGAATGAGCCTGACGCTTGTCATATATGTGTAACAAACGGTAACAAATCAGCACCCCAATGCTGAAAGGAATAACTGAATTGAGGTAATTTTGTAGCACTGAGAATGCTTACAGAACATTCAAGAAGCCTCAAGAGGATCAATAGTAATTTCCAGAGTATCGATATTCATTGATATTCCAATAGGTTGTCTGGCCTTTAACACATTACATAATCAAATTGCGTAATAAGTGTGCGTGCACCATGCCTCAGACAAGGAAATCGATTCAAGGATCGTCAGAGTAGTCGATTTGTATCTCATAATGTGACAGTCATACAAATTTGACAAGTGTCTACAGTTTAATCTGGCGCCAGGTAAAGTTTGATTACAAGCATAGATGGAGAGGGTAGCTGTGCTCCATTGGATTTTCTTGAAAAACATATATTTTTTTCCTCTTAACAGAGACAAAACACAGGACAGGCAAGAGGGCAAAAACTGAAAAAGAAAGTGGTGATAGACTGCCGACTGTGTGAAGAGAAAACTAAAAATAAAAGTAAAGATTTGATGCAAAAAAAAAAAATCTGTTTTCTAAGAAAAGGGTAGACCTTACCTGTTCCCTCCTTATTTCCATTTTGATGTGTCCGCAACTCCTCTGATTTGTAGAAGTCGATGCTGGCATATGTGTTGAGACTAGAGCTGTTGCTGCTGCCGACTGCTGCACCCACTCCCACTCCCCCGACTCCAGAACCTGCACCCAGTACAGAAAAGAGGCGAGATGGGGCCTGACTTCCAGAAGGCCCATCCAGGCCCAGATGTGGGCTCTCTTTGTTGGCCAAGTCCAAGTCTATGTAGTTAAGGCCTTGCTCTGTGGATGAGGTCTGAGTGTTTGTGGGAAGCAACTGCTGTCCAGGGAGGGGAAACTGAGTGGGGGGATCAGTCACAGCACCATTCCCCCACAGCATGCTATCAAAGCCCAGCCGGCGGGCCACAGCTTGGGTGTGTTCTGGAAAGAGGGAGGCAGTTGAAGATGAAGTAGAGGTAGAGGTGGGGAGGGAAGGTGAGGCAAGGAAGGTTTCTGAGCAGTGCCGTCTGCGTCCTTGGGGGTCAGCCCGGATAACTTTAGCCCCCTGGTCTGGGTTGGGTCCTGATTTGGCTAAGGGGAAGTCTAGACCCCGTGACAGCACTGGAACAGAAGGATCAGTACTGCTGGGAGACGGGACTTTGGGGGAAACACTGGATGTTGACCGAGAGACAGTGTTGCTATTCAAGCTGAAGGCCATCTCAGTGTAGTCGCCACAGGATGTAGGGGACTCAGACTCAGTCACCGATGGAACGTTTTCTCTGTTTTTCCTAAGTGAAGCCTCAGCCACTTCAGCCTCCTCTTCATGAGGGCCAGTAGCGCCCTCATTACAAGTTTTAGGGGCATGGGCAAGAGTAGGAGGCGTGGGAGGGGTGTGGAAAGAAGGGAAAACTAGTGGGGTAAGGGATAGGGGTGAGGGGGAGGGTGAAGGGCCCAGGTCCATGTTGACATATTCAGAGGCAGCTGGGGGAGTGATGGGGGCAGAGGGGCTACGGGAGAGGGGTATGAAGTTACCTAAGCAAGACGTTGGCCTGTGTTGAGGATGCTGACTGCTTGAGCCATGAGGCAATGATAAGCCATGCCTAAGACCCCTGCCACGCCCTCCTCCAACCCCCGTCTGGCTGCACTTCTCCCCCTTGAACTCTATGCTTACATACTCCCCAGGGCTCTTAGGTTCTGGGGGCAGGGGATTCTCACGGACCCTAGGAAGGGTGTTAGCCTTGGATACATCAACAAACAAGCTCACTGGTCTGCTTCTAGTGTGGCTACCCTGCTTGGACAACCCACCAGAGCCCCTTCTCTGCTGGAGCTTACTGGAGCTTACATCTTTGGACTGAGTTCCCCCAGTCATGTTACTTAGTGTCTGAGTAGTCCGGTCTTCACTCTCCCCGAGGCTCTCACTGCTGGCTGAGCTGGAGGAATATGAGGAAGAGGACAGTGACAGGTGGCGACCAACCACTGAATTGCCTGCTGCTTGTTGCTCCTGACGCCCTCCCATAGTTCTACCTCCACCCATTCCCCTACTACAACTCCCATTGGGCCTTCTGCCTCGTCCAGGCCCATCATCAAAGTGTCCAGCAGAGGGGTTATGTTTGTATGACCGTGGAAGAGAGTAGTAAGAATAAACCATCTTGGGTGCTTGTTGTTGGGAACTGGTCTCCAAATGGCAGGTATGCTCAGGAGGTGGAGGACTGCCATTTACAGAACGAGCGCTAATTGGAGACATGTTCATATAGTCACTGCCTGCTCTGCTGTCTGCACTGCCACTGCCCACCCAAGCCCCTCCAGAAAGTCCTCCACGTTGGTCAGGAGAGCAGCTGCTATTGGGAGACATTATCATATAGCCATCAGAAGTTGGTGGAGGTCGGATCTGCTGCGGAGGAGACACGCTGTTATTAGGAGTCATGGCCATGTAATCATCAGCAGCTTTGGAATCTGAGTCAGGGACAGAGACGGCCAATGACTGGGAGAGGGACACTGGAGGCTGAGTGACTCCAGGCAGCATGGACATGTACCCATTGTCCACACCTAAATCTACAGCTCCACCAGCTCCTCCACCCCCCTCAGCTTTGAACTCTCCTGCCACATCCAAGTACCCTCCTCCAACCCCTGCTGACCCAGCACCCATGCCAGATTCCCTGTGTGTAGAAGAGCAGGTGGATGTAAAAGACTCTCGGCTGGTGCTCCTCGACATGATGGCATAATCTGCAGAATCTTCATCTGCTGGCTCCTCAGCTCTGCGCTGACGTGGTGCCAGCCTTTCCAAAGCCATAGGAGGTAAGGAAGCCCGCTTACTCAACAGTCTCCGTTCAGCTTCACATTCACGGCTGGAGGAGCGGCGGAGCACTCTCCGGGTCTGCGGTTGGGAGCCAGAGGCGGGTGTTCCTGGCGCAGGCAGGGAGCTGGACGTCAAGCTCCCTTGATTACTGTTGCTACCACCACTACGTTGCCCCATTAGGATATAGTTGGCTCCATCTTCACCAAGAGACTGGCTGCCGGCACTACCAACTGAGCTTCCAGGGAGGCTCGGGGAGGGGAGGAGAGTGTGATCCCCAGGACTAGAACCATACTCGTCTGACGAGCCATAGTCACTAGGTGAGCCCGAGACAGAGGCACGATGAGAGGGCACCCGACTGTAGGCACCAGACCCCTGACCAGCACCAGCAGAAGATGTTACACCTCCAAACTCAGAGCCATGCCCAGAGCTGGAGGAGAGGCTTGGGGCTGGGGAGGGTGCTGGGGTGGAAATGGAGCGCATCAATCCAAGAGGAGTTTTAGCAGCTGTGGTGGGCGCTGAACGGGCAGACTTCGATCTGAGAATTGGCGTGGTGGAGCAGGAGCCATTGGTAGAGGGGCTGGAGTTCACGCCATGTAGTGGTGTGGTCCCTGCAATCCCATCCTCACCTTTCCCCCCATCACTAGCAGTGCGAGACCTTGGGAAGCTATGCCGGGGGGTAGGAGATGCATTTGCATTGCTGACTGCTCCACTGTTGGCTCCTGCAGGAGGCTCAGTTCTGGGACGGCGAGTGAAGCCAACCTGACTGGGAGGAGGGTTTGGGTGGTGGCGGCGTGAGGGAACACTAATAGGGTTAGAAGCAGTGGCACCTCCTCCAGGGCCAGAGTTCGACTGAGACTTGCTGCGCTGGCGGAACTCCTCACTCAGTGCCTTCATGGCTTCTAGCAAGGTTTCATGCATGTTCTGGGCCACCACTGAATCATCCACCTAGAACATAATGCAACAAACAGTCAAAACATTCAACTCAAACCGAAACTGCAGACGTTTAAAAATAAATTCTTTGTTACAAATCACAGTAAATGGGCCTAGAAGTCTATAATATATCAGAGGCAGTCTCACTAGCTGCTCATGAGGTCCATCGCATAACAGAATTAAGGTACTTTTCTGAGATAATAGACACATTTCTGGCTTCTGATCTGTGAACAATACATTGACCTAAAAAACTGCAAATTTGTGAGCATTTTAACGGAATATTTTTTGGACATTTAAATATAGGATAGTCATGTAAAACCTTGTGTTCTCTGTCTTTTTCTTCAACTTGAAATGCTAAAATCCATTTGGAATTATTTGTGGCATTTCGTAAATCTAAGGCCATAATGCTGGGTTGAATGAATTTTGCAGTTCCTTTCACTCTGTTGACTATTGGCTCTTTGCATATATGTGACATTGAAGGGTGAAAAAACTGTCAACAGAAATTGGACTGCAGATTACAGGCTCACCTGCATCCAGAACTCGCCCGGGCCTGTCACGGCAGAGCGTCCCACCTCGACAAAAAAGAAGTTTTCCGAATGGCCACAGCGTCTCACGTTCATCAGCTGCAGCACCACAGCAGCAGCATCAGAGTTGAGTTTTACAAAGTTGACTGTCTTGTCAGTCAGGCAAAGGCGGTAGATGCCAACCAAGTTCTTTGCCTGACCCAGGCCTTTGGGCCACACCTTCACCTGCCACACCTCTTTGAAAGCAGGTCCAGGATTAGGTACTCCATAGTCCCCCGCAGCCCCACTGTCAGTAGGATTCTTACCTTTGGGGAACAGAACAGAGACAAAAGAAGATTAAAAGGTTGTTACAGGGGAAAATTTCCGAAGAACATTACAAAGTACAACTGCAGCAACAAAGCAATGACATGACCTTCGGGCATCTGTGAACAAAGGAAACCACCACTATTTACCTGTTAGTGGAGGGCAAGGTGCCTTTATTATGTAGCTGTGCTGATACTGAGCCTTTCATTGATTTTTACACCAGATCTAACTTCAAAAGGAGCATGCACCAGCTTGTGAGAGTGGCTCACTGTACATGCAGGCGCCATACCAGGGGTCTCATTCGTCAACCGCTTCCAGGCATCCTGACACACGCAAAGGCACACATAACACCAGTTTGGAAAAATTAAACTGTTGACAAGTGAAGCGCAGCACAAGAATGACGACTGTGAAAGAAAAACAACGGTTGTGGAAAAACCTAGTTAAACCAACTTGAAAAGTGCTTAACAATTGAATCTATCCCAAAACCAAAGCAAACAATGCCAGTTGATGGGCAGAAACCTCAGGGCACACGCTCAAAAAGCTCCTCCAAAGCCATTTTCTGGAGTCGCTCAACTGACAATAAACTGGCTCTGTAAACTAATAAATTGTAGGATCTTTGAGCGGTAGTGCAGGCAGTTCATTCACCCTTAGTGTTTAGTGCACTGTATTCAGACAGTAGGGAATCACTGAAGCAATGAAGCACAGGAGAGAAAGGTCTTAGTGAAATCTGATCCCAGACTAGTAAGGGACAAAAGAAGGAAGGGGACTAATTTAACTACTTAAGGGAGCAGTGGGTAGGATTTAGGGGGATCTATTAGCATACCTGAAGATAACCTCCATAGTGCTTTTTACATTTTTTCCTACAAGAACGATCCTTTCATGTCTACAGAGGGAGCGGGCAGTAGGTTCTTCTACATGCTTGGCAGAGGAAGGAAAGTGGTATTCAGTTGGTTGCAATCTCCAACGTCACTGCTATTTCAAAAGCCACTAAATCCTACACCAATTACCTTTTAACATATGTTTGGTGTTGATAAATCTAAAGCTGGAAATGAGCCTATTATCTCATTAAAGTATCTCACTGTCATGTGGTGGAACTCTTTGTGAGCAGCCAGAGACAATGCTGCTGATATATTACAGATTTACCTCTAGGCTCATTAGTTCCACCCACATAAGGCCTCACATCTGTTGAGCAAAAAGGATTTCACGATTTTGTGATTCATTTTTCGGGTGGAGTCTATTTCTCCTTTAAGTAATCCTCCTAAAAAGTACATTAAACATGGCTTAAATCCTCCCATGTATAACTTTTATTTTTCTCTGTCATATCGCCAGGATGGATATGTCTGAGCATGACAACAATCTATAACATAGAATCAATCAACTCCATGACAAGACTGAAGAAACAAAATGTCCACAAAAAGGCTCACCTGGTTGCTTCATGGGAACAGGATGTTCTTTGTGCATTAATGAATGAACTAGAACACCTGTCTTATTAGGACTACCACATGTTCCATACAGAAGGGAAAAGCAATTTTTATTTGACCGGTAACTGAATGAAAAGTCTGCGTTGCTTTCTACTTTCAGCAATGACTTTGGCCCAATCACGATAAAGCCTGACCGCAGTATTACAAATGTATTCTTGTCTTTCTGAATGCGTGTTGTTCTTCCTTTCCCATGCTTCTGCTGCAGATCCTACAATGACAACCATATGTAGACAAGAAGCCTCAGCGTGCAAACTGGACGCCATATTAAGAGAGCTTCTGTTATGACAAACATTTCCCCAGATCCTCATCCTGAAACGTTTTTACTTGCGATTGCAAAACAGGGAGAAGTCTGATACGCCTCCCTGTGTCTTCTTCCAGTGTGCTTCCCCAAAACTGGAGGAATGCTCACAACTTGAAAGAGACCTAGAATAGATGTTTTGTTGAAAGCCAGCGAGGCTGCGGCTTCGCGGCTGCGTGTGTGCAGGCCCTCCCCCTACATTAGATGACTCACTCAAGGCCACGCATGGCTGTGTCATGTATTACTTTTCTCCGTGTGCGAGGACCTCTTTTTGCAAGGAGTCCTGTTTGCTTCCTCGATTTAGATTTACAACAGGAAGAGATGGTTTTGGGACTTTTCAGATGGGAGCGAGGGAATGAGGGAGTGCGGGAGATTGCAATGAGATATGAGAGAGCCATTAAGAAGGGAATAAAGGGCCTTTTAACTGAATCTTAAAGGAGGGGAAAAGGAGAGGTTTATTTTAGGATTACTTGGGTTAAAAGCATCTAATTACAGGCTTATTTTAAAATTAATTTTTTGAGCCCGCCGCTTGTTGAGATTGACTTGGATTGCAGTGCGGCATGTTGCTTAAAGAGTATCCTTTCCTTTTCGAGAGCCCATTTAATGTGTCTTGAGGAGAGCACAAGCGTGCTGTTTGTTGTGAGTACAGTGCAGCCTTAAACCTCAGCTGTGCCCTGAGCGCTTCCACACATACACCCTTGATCTCAGGGCCACTCTGGCTCTGCACACTGTAAAAAGCACTGAAAACATTTTAAGAGGCTTTACTGGAATCCTACATAGGTGCAGACTGATTTAGCCCTATCAAACATCACAGACTTTTGCCCACGGTTGCCTGAAGCTGGGCTTGATTCGACACAAAACAGTATCAAATATAAACTGCCCCTGGCTTTCCGCTGGGGAATCCTTAAGGCAGCGTGGTAGCTCACCGGAGATGACAGTTGAAAATCTTTTTTTCCATTTTGCATAAAGAGCTTATCAGCCAGTCAGCTTCCGTGCAGCACAACGCCGCCCCTATACAACATAATGAACCCACAGAAAAACATGCACGGAGAACGGCCCTCAGCCGGAGATCAATCTAAGCGCTAAAGCCGGATGCGCATGAAAGCAAAACACACCTGGAGGTAATGAAGCATCTGCTTAAAAGCTTGCTGGTTGAATAAAGGCAATGCGTGCGGGGAAAACATTCAGCCAACCTTTACGCAACCTTGGAGGGAGCGTGCTCCTCGGGTCCAAGGGTTCACACGAGGTGACCGTATTTATATCAGAGTTTTGGCAAATCCGAAAACAACTTACACTGGCTTATTCACGCACCAGTTGTTTACTTCGCTTTTCGCCGTGACCACACAAGAAACTCGCAACCTTATGTGTGGCTCGAGCGTCGCAACCTACACGGGCAACACTGGCGTCTATTCATGCCCATTTATTTGCTATGCTCGAGCTGCCTCTCCCAAGATCACAGGCTGTATATAAAGAGGCCATAATCTAACCTAATTTTCTCGACTGCAATTTTAAATATGAGTTGAGTTATTGGTGCTGAGGGGGAGGAGGAGGGAGTTGTGTCTCCTATGCTTTCTAACTGCCTTTATATAGGGGACCGTACTTACCCCGAGGCTGCCAGATCCCTGCTGGGATATTGACAGGTCCTCTGTCAGTGACAGGCTAATTATTGTGATGGTTATCGCACAAATCCTAAGAAAGTAGGTCTTGGGCAATTCTGCTTCTCACTGGCACAAGATTAAATTTCAAAATTTCAAATGCATTTTAACAGCAACACAAAAGCCTTGTTTCGCTTTACATTACCCCCAAAACCCGCCACTGGGGCTGAAAAAAAAAATGTCATCTTTGTGGGGAAAACAACACTGCTCTGTCAGAAAACTTGACCCAATTGAAGCTTATACTCTGGACATTTTATCAAAATCCCTTTACTTGACATGTCTTATTTAAAATTTGCAAGAAAGAACAGTTTGCACTAACAAGAATCTGTTTAAGAATAAAATTACACTGTTAAGTAATTTTTAAAAAACTCAAGACGTAAGGAATTTTCAGCCTGCAACAAATAAAAAGTAGTAAAATATAGTAAAATAAATCAATTATTAACAATAATATTAAAATGTTGCCATGTTTTTCCCACTTGGGGACTGGGTTTTTTTTTATTTTAATTGTTGTAAAATAAATATAAAAGAAAGACATCCCTGTTTTCCCCCCCCATTGTTAGTGATTTATGACTTTTTAGCTTTGTTACGCATTGTTACACATTGTTACACATTGTTGTGTAGGATTTAAATTGCAGTGAAAAGTGAGTGAAGACGTGACAGGACGGGGAAAAAAAAGGATTCGGTTCAGAGGGTTTAGCAAAAATCAAGAAAAGACCTGTAAGTAATGTGATTCTGCAAAAAAAAACAAAAAACTATTTGCTGGAGAGGAAAGTTAAATGATTCAAATTTATAGCGAGACTCCTTCTTGGTTAGCTAATGCAGCCTGTAAATCAGGGGAAAACTACTTTGGCTCGGCTCCTGCTTAGGTTCTGTTTCAAGTTTCTGACCTCACTGGCCTAACACGCTGTGCAAAACACTGCAGAGAGACTTCTGAGGGGTTAAATCTCACTTTTCTGCCCCTCTATCTCTGCCACTGTGCCCCCCACTCCCCCTGCCAGCCAACCAGATAGACACGAGACAGCTGTGGACTTTTTTATACTTGCACATATTTGAGAGAGAAGTGAACCACCCAGCAGGAAAAACAGTTGGTCTAATCTCTGGCTGCCATGTGTACCCGTTTCCCCTCTTTCTTTTTTTTTTCCAACTCCTCTACCTCCTAACTCTTCATCCATCTCTACCATCTGTAATCCCCCCTCCTCATCTGGGCCCACACTCGGGGACACAATGCTTCCCCAACACCAGCATCTGCCGAAGGCTAATTTCACATATGGTTTGCGTTAGCCAGGAGCAAACACAAGCATGCACACACACATGCATGAAATTATTGGTGACGCATCCGAGGTTCATCCCCTGACAAGACACGAAAAAAAAAAATCATGTGAAAGTCAGCTGAAGCTCTCCCAAAACCAGTTCGCCAAACTTGGAGCCATCTTCGGTCGTGACTGGTTAATCTGGTTCAGAGTTGCTAAACATCCTGCTTCAGTGGGTCCCAACAGATTTTGGAAACTCTGACGTCCAAAATGAGTTTTTAACGAAGTAATATATTTTCGAAAATGTGGGGTGGGGGG